GTGTAGCTAGGTCACAGAGTTACCGTTGGCTGTTTCATAAGGTCTTTACTATAGCTGTGGGATGAAGTTTGTCGTTATCTGAAGCCCCACCCTGGCTTTTGCCGGGGGCCCTGAATATAGCCGGACCATAAATGTGGCCTTAACGGCTGAAAGGGGTTGTGGACTTGGTGTTTTCGCATTTAAGGCCTTTCCAGTCGGCCATATTTTGGATCCAGGTTCACTTTGGAAGCCGCCTCGTCTGTTCTCCAGTGTTGAGCCCTGTACAGATGGTAAGTAAAGGCCCCTTTTCAGGTCTTCAGGAGTGTTGGGCATATAGGGCTAGACCTAAAGTGTATAGACCAATTTGCCCTCGTTAAGTGATGTGGTCAATATGAGACTGGCCGTCTTCATTTCCTATGACTACCTGATACCCACTCCAGGCTAGGTCGACCTGGGAGCCAAGGGGTCTCCGTGGCGAAGTAGTCAAGCCGTTTCCCTCGTGCTCTGAAGGTAGTAAGTTCGTTTCACGGCAACGTCGTTCAGTACACGAATGTGGTTTTTACGGAGATCTCCTAGGGATCGTCGCCGGAGCTACGGAGGTCATGCTGTGTGCAGACAGGCAGCTAGCTGTTCCTTTTCTGCGGAAAGAGGCTGAGCCATATGGAATAAAACTCAGTGCAATGAAGTCGTTTCTCTCACCTTACCTAAACTTTACCTCTCTAGCAAGTAATAAACACTTTCACCCCGAATACCTAGAAGAAAAACAAAGCAATGGGGTGGTCAAGAGGTAAACTGATTTGGTTGGAAGTCCCGTTTTCAGTAGAAAATATTAGTGGAATGTCCCCTTTTCAATAGAAAATATTGCTGGTATTAGTGAAATGTACCGTTTTCAGTTTAAAAAATATTTACCGGAATGTGCCGTTTTCAGTAGAAAATATTAGTTTCTTTTTCTTCTTTGTGTTCACCAGCTGTACACTCTGGCGTAAAGTTCTGGTTGTTCGTCCACTACTGAACTGCAGTCATGCTCCAGAACCTGAGTGTTGCATGTGCATCAGTTTTACAGATCTGATTCAATTGAATTCAGACTGCTGGTTCCTTGCCTCTCAGGCAGATGCACTCCGACTTCAAAGGAAGCTCCCCAGTTAGTAGACTCTTACGACATGCTTTTGGGGAGGCAGTGGGTCTATTCTTGTTTTCCCCACAATAGGGCCCCGGAACCCACACGGGGGGGGGGGGGGGAATATTAGTGAAATGTCCCTTTTTCTGTAGAAAATATTAGTGGAAGGTCCCGTTTTCAGTAGAAAATATTAGCAGAATATCCCGTTTTCAGCAGAAAATATCAGTGGAATCTCCCATTTTCGGTTGAAAATATTAGCGGAATCTCCCGTTTTCGGTAGTAAATATTAGTGGAATGTCTCATTTTCGATTGAAAATATTAGTAGAATGTCCTGTTTTTAAGCACAATAAGATTAGTGGGATATCCCATTTTCAGCTCGATATATTATAGTCACCCTGAATGTATGTGTGTCTCTGTGTGTGTGTTTGTGCGCGCGCGCGTGTGTGCGTGTACATGTTTACCTTTGAAGCAGCTGTAGTGTAGCGGCTATATGCTGACCTGCAGATCCAAAGATGTTCAAACTGAGCCTGCCATTTTTTTAAATGACTGCCTCATAGAGCCTTAAATGGGTACCAGGAAAAGTCATGGGAAGTAAAGACGACCGGCAGGATGTTGACAGTCAAGTGCCGATTGGACCGGAAATGTAGATCTAGCACTATGTATCCAACACGTCTAAAGACGTGGACAGGAATACTATAACAAGTTTTTGCTACAAGTGAGATGTTACACACAGATTCAGATCATGCATCAGATTCTGTCACAAACAGTTGACCAATGGACATTCACCGGCCAGGTGTTTTACAACAATCCATGCTACAATTGGCGCCAGTAAACTCTCAGAAATACAGGCCACAACATACTTTCTCTATGACATAATTTTGTGTCTTGTGTTTTGCTGATAGTCAGTCCATAAAACTGCTTTAAATCGATGCTTTGTTACATCGTAAAATGCCCCTTGTCTTTGCAGATGTGAAATGTCATATGAGTCATGTTAAAAGTTAATTTAAAAAAAATAAAGAGATAGAAGTCGAGAGAATCGACTTCATTGCACCGGATTTTATCCCATCGGTCTCTCTCCACAGAAGGACTAGCCGCCTCCCGAGAGCACAGCATAGAGCACGAACTACGTAGCTAAAAATTGCACTCGTGAACTGAAGAGCGCAACTGTGAAACAGGCCCACGACCTTCAGAGGGCGAGGCAAACGGCTTGACCACTTCACCACGGAGACCCCTAAAGGGTCATGTGCCGTAGAGGACCCTCACCAACCCCTTTGGGAGTGTTAGGCGTAAAAAGCTAGCTAGACCTATATTTTGTAGACCGATTGGCACCACTCAGGGCATAATGTGGTCCCAGGTCTCTACATGGTACACCCGGGAGCCAAAATCATTTCTGACAAAAGTGCG